AGCAGGAAGCTTCATGGAGTGATGCAAAAGACTTCCAGCTCTGACTTCCTCTGTCTGCACTAGTTACTCTCTAACTTACAGAAACAAGACAAAGTCATCCAACAGCAGCAGCTTTCTACAAGCCTCTCATGCCACTGCATGATGCTTGGAGAGAACCTTCAAGGACACACCTTCCCCAGTGGATCACTGGGAGCTTTCTTTAGAATGGCCAGTACAGAATGATGACATTGATGACACTTTTCAACCTGTCCAACATCACTCCCTGTGCACACCTCTATCTACCTACAGTCTGTTCACACACTTGCACATTTCCTTCATATAACAGCATCCCTTGGTTTTAAAACTTTGCATTCAGAAGCTTTAAAAGTTTTATTTACCCAATATAAGTCATCATCTTTAACCACCAGCTGCTAAGAGGATGGTTGAAGTGATACAGCTCAGGCAATGCTTTCCCTGATTTCACTTCTTCCACAATATGTCATTAATTAGAAAATGTTAGTGTCCTCAACCCTTGTAGGTACAAGGGCTGTCCACAAATGTATCATCAAGGAGCTATCATTACACCAGCTCTACTACCTTTAGGTACCCACAGAAAAGTGCATCTTGACAGTCTATGATTTACTAGAAGCCTCATTCAGAGAAGCTTAAGTGGTTCCCTGAGGACCAAATGAAGCTGGCAGGCACTGCCCACCAGGACTGAGGCAAAGGTTGCAGCAGTCCAGAGACAACCATGTCTGACATCTGGAGTCTTGTTTTCAGGTGGAGCAGTCAGTCACTGATGGAAGCAGAAGCAGTTCAGAGCCCAAGAGTTATAACACAGCGAGGCTCTGGGCTAGGAGCAGTCTCCAGCTAATGGCAGGGGGGTCGACACCGCAGTAGACATTTATCAGTTCAAACCTGTTCCCCCTGCCATCTTATCTCCACTCAAGTCAGGGCTTCAAGCAGCTTAAGAAAAAAAAACCATGATCTGTAAGTTTAGCCATCACACAAAAGCAGGAAGAATACAGCCCCGGGCCAGATCTCGGAGAAGGCCATCTTCTATCTGGACAGCTTTGAGAGTACATTGGGCAGCATGAGCAGGTGGAGAGGGTTCTAGAGAAAGGCAGACACACTGGTGCCACTCTGGCTGGTTAGAAGAGGGATGCTCTATGCTAGCAGAGCACAAGATCCACATCTGACCAGCAGAAAAGAGCTGGGCACTGCAAGCTAAACTATGAAGAGAATAATCACATAACTGTATCTTGTCAAAAAAAAAAATCACCCCAGATAAAGAAAGTTAGGAATTACTGAGTAGACAGAAAAATATAAAGGACAGAGTTTAACAGTGCTGCTTGAGATGTGACAGATCTAAGGATATATGAAATACCAGGTTTGTAGGCAGAGGTAATATTTTATTGGATCAATCAATACAGATTGAGAAAAATGAAGGACTTCTGTGACCAAAAGCATGTCCATTAGGTGTGGCACAGCAAAGATCAAGCTAAGCATTTTGTCCCACTGAAGTCTGATGGTGTTAACAAGGGGTTAACACTCACTTGGAAAGCATTTGTAGATAAACTGAGAGGGGAAAATAGGAACTGACAGGTGAAAAATGTTTAGGGATTTGCAGCCACTAAGTGGTTCAATTAACACCTTTTAAGTTACACACACCATAAATCTTTTATTTTTAAGGAATATGATTAAAGGATCATAATAAGATAAAAACAATCCTGTTCCAGCTCTCTGCCTTAATTCTCCCCTCATCACCACCCAGCTCTCTTTACGAAGTCTGAAACTAGAGTTTTCTCCTTGATGTTGCAATACCTGAGCTTCTTTATAATTTAAATCCTCAAAAGTAACCTTTGCAGAGCACAATTCAGGGTTGGATCAGGTGGAGGGGAGCTCCCTCTCCAGGTAAAGGATGCTTTTTATCAAGGGCTGACTGTCCTTTGGTTGTATTCTTTGGCATCTGTGATGAAGCCTGAAAGAAGGCTGTCCTGGAGCTGGGGCATTACGATGTTTCTCTTCCATGCGGCTTCCCTGGGACCTACAAAGGGTTGAGAAGCTACTACCATGCTCCCCTCATGGGAAGCACTGATCTTTCTTCCATGCCCAACACAGGCAACTTTGTTGAAACTGTAACGACATCTACTTTTTTCGGTTCCCTTGAGATGTTATCATGGGTAACAAATTGAATAACAGACTCAAAAATGCATGGGGGAGCAAGTTGGAGAAGGGGAAAGGAAAGGGCAAAGGTGAGACGGACCAAAAATGCAGCTTACACAGTCCTCAAACAGGCTAAGCATCGAAACCCCACAAGTACATAAAAATAACCTTTTGTAGACAACCTTCAGATGGCCTGCAGTCACATCCAGGGAGAAACTGAGACGTGGAAGCTATGAGATATGATACAAAAAATAGCCACCTAAGGCTGAGATAATGCATAGTTCAGTGCTAGATTAAAAGGAGTTGTGTGAGGCCATCTTTTATTTTAAATACTAGTAGCTATATTTTTTTTCCAGTTTTTGCTTTGTTCTTTAATCCAGACAGGGTGATAGTTCCACCCCAGAGGTTTATCTTGCCATAAGTTGTGATAGCTTTCCTTCCTAGGAGATTAGCCTGGAGAAACTCTAGTTGAAAGCTAATCACTGACCTCTGAAACGCTCTCTTAACCTCAGCATCCGATCTGGACACAGAGAAATCCTGACCCTGTAAAGATTTATGTGCGTCCTTCATTTTATTCAGAGACACAAGTGGGCCAGCTCGGTTAGCTTTGTCAGTCACACTGATGTTTCTTTCATGAGCCAGTATTTTTATGGCTGAAATGTCTCAAATCCAGGATCAAGTTACCCAGTGTCAACCACCCCTCTGGCAGTGAGAGTTAAACAGAGTTAAAGCTTTTAATAAGGCACAAACTGCTGTGGTCTGACCTGCTTCAGAGTGCCAAGTGCTTCAGATCCAGTATATTACCATGAGTCAAACAATGCCCAGTAGTTTTAGGACTGAAGTGTTTTTAAGGGAGTGATCTATTACTGCAAGGAACATCCACGTGAATAACAATGCTAACCGAGTACTGCAGAGACATACAAAATTACATTACCATTATGAATGTTTTTAAAAAAAAAAACCCACCAACTTTTTTCTAATCAATCCAGAGAAAACCTCTAGTAGGGTCTAAGACAAATACTTTTAAAGAAAAACATCTTACTGTAAAGTGAAGCAGTTACTCTGAAAACTGGAATTAATGAAAGTGGAAGGTCTATTTCCTTATAACCTGTTTAGCGTCAAATGTTTTCTGCATTGGAAATATGGGCACCCAACACAACCACTCATGAGGTTTTTCAGCATAAAGAGAGCTCATACCTCTCTAAATAGCAAAGACTCTACAATGAAAAACACCATATGGCAAGTTCTTGCTTAATTTAAACTTAATAGTGAGAACTGACTGCCATTTTAAAAACTGACAGCAATATACCCATGAACTGCTATTAGGAGAGAGCAATCACAAATTTGATTTATTGACACCGAAAAATGAAAACAATAAAATACTACCAGCCTCCTAAAGAAAAGCCTACTGATGCTTTGCTTTTACTGCAGTTGACTAAACAGATGCAGCTGATTTTGGAGGTTTGTGGTAACATCTATCACTGAAGTACAGATGCTGCAAACACACAGTGGCAAGCATGCAGAATACTAAACATAGGTTTCAAAAGCACGTTTACCTAACCACACTTGCACATCACCTATTGTAGATTAACGAGGCCTAAAGCCCATTTCTTTTACCTGAATGCTAGATCTCCTTATTTTTCTCCCCCTGCAACCTATGGCAAAACAACAAATCTGCCTCTTGAATAAATCAGAGAAGAGCTGTGGCTCACTGCTAGCCGTTCATCCTCTTCTCGTCCTTTCCCATCTCCTCCTGCATGGGGGGAGCTGCATATTATTTTCTGCCCGTAGCTAGGGACACAGCAAGTCATAATTAGCTCACAGGGTGCTGTTTATAGCTACTACACAATGCCAGGATTTGTTTCTTGTACTGAAACTATGAATCCGTAAATGGGATTTTTATGAGGATTTGTGTGTCATCTTGTGTTTTTCCTGGAAGCTTATGCCACTGTCATTCCCGGGGGATGCGATGCACATTTACCAGAAACCCGACACACTGACTTCCTCTCCATTCTTAAAAATAGGGATGAGAAAGCTCAGCAGATGATGAAAAAAGAATGTATTTAAGAAGCAGGTGGGTGTAAAAAAAGGGGGGTGGCAAAGAGGAAGAAAAACTCAGCTACAGCTGGTACCAGGGCTCTGCTCCAGAAAAGCCTACAATCAGTTACTGCTGGCATGAAGCTCAACCTTTCAGCAGGCGCCCAGCTGGCACACGGCAGAGCAGGGCTGGGCTGGTGCCAGCCCCATCCCAGGCAAGGGCTTCCCTTCCCGCAGCTGCTCCAGGCCAGCAGACTTGCTCTTGGCCAGACACAAGTCCTTGCAAATGCTGTCACCTGTCTGCTTTTATAAAAGCCTGTCAGAGCTGCTGCTCCTCCAAAAGCTGAGTCACCAACATAACCGCTAATGATTTATGTTCCAGCATCATCACTCTGAACAAGGTTAACCAGGATCAATTTAGGGTGAGCTTCCCATGACGTGTCTTTGGAAAGCCAAAGCGCCTGCGGACAGACAGCGCTGGTGCCGTGCGAGGATGGAAGGGACGTTACGAGCCACGCCAGTGTCACGCGCCAGCTTCAGCAGAAGAGACATGTCACCAAATCCCATCTGCACACAGACCCCTGCATCTCTGCTGGGAAGAGAGGTACTACCCATGTGCCACAGAAGAAATACCTCTGTCTTCGATATCAGAAAGGGCACTAGCAGGTAGAATAAGCCTCTGAAAGAAGCTGCACCTCCATCCAAATTAAGATCAACAGCTTTAAGCCAAGGCTTTTTACAAAAAGCAGGTTCCACTTGTTTAGATTTTTTTTATTATAATACAGGCACAGTTTCAGCATACTGCAATATTCCATAATGAAATTACAGCCTTCATATATAACTTCTCCCTCAGGCTATGCTGCTTCAGAATAGCAAGTTATTATGCTGCTCGAGCCCCAGCACCAGTGACTGGCAGCACAGCTAATGGATATAGCAAGGATGCATTTGACTGACAGCCTAACTTTATTTGTCAAAACCAAAAGCACCTACATACCAAAGGAAGGCTGATATAATGTGGAGGTGCCAGCTGGGGCAGGGGGGGAGGCATTTCTTTGGAGGATTGAGAGAAACCAGGGCAAAGAAACAAAAGGACCCTGTCCACCTCTGCTGAGGCACAGAGTGGCAGAGGACAATGCATTTAGCATCGTCACATATATATAATGTATATATGCATGAAATTTGAGAAACAGAAGAAATCTTGAATGCAAGCAGTATGCTGTCTGGAGCACAAAGCTGACAAGAGTAACACCACTGAAGGTGCTAACGTGGCTCTCCTCACTGGCGGCTGCCAGAGGAGGGAGAACAAACAACTTCCTAATGCCTAGCAGGATCACCAGGGTAGCTCCCTGTCAAATTTGAAGTAGCAAGTTTGGAAGTTGTCTCAGGCAGACCAAGAAATACCAAACATACATTTCTTTTCCCCTTCTAATTAAGGCAAAAGGTATTAATTGACTGCTAGGTGGTTCTCCTATTATTCTGCTCTTCTCTCCAGAATAATGAAGCTGAATGGTGCGAACTCTACTATGACTCAGGCAAAAACACTGAACATTTCACAAGTCCAGTAAAACACAAGCTCTATAATCAGTATGGCTTATCAATACAAATCCCTCTCAGACTGTTTTTACCCATCTTAAAAGTCAGTCCCAGGGTCAGTTGCATTTACATCTTTTCCTTCATAAAATAGTGTGACAATTCCCAAGAATAATCAGCCTGAGTGATACAGGAGTGACTGATCTATCTTAAGAAACATGTCAGCTACAAAACTAAGTGTGACTTTTATGCTATAAAGTAGGCTTGCAAACATTAAGCTTGTTGCGTGTTTTGTTTTTGGGGAAGCTGGACTGTTATATAAGTTTATTACTTAGTTTTGTAGGTGCTCTACCGTTTTTAAAATGTAGAGTACCAAATAAAAACAAATGAGTTCAACAGAGATGCTGGAGACTTGTATTATAATACTGAATTGGTTTGCCTGTATTGTTTACTTTTGAACTTTAACAGAATTTTTGAATTAGGATTTTTAAGTTATGTTAGCTGAATTCTTTCAATTGAAGTTCTGACATGATGCTCTATATTTCTTTGGTTTAAGTCATCTAAAAAGATAAAAAAAAAAAAAAGGTTGACAGTAACAATAGCAGCACAGAAGCAAAAATCAAGCAATGTCTTTTCCCAATAGCTTGATATTATGAGGCCCAGCAGAACAGTACTTCAGGCAGACATAAATTCATAGGCAGAAGGTGCAAATGAGGCACATTTCCTGAGGACTAGCAGCCTCTCAGCAGAACGGTAAGGATCTGGTCGATGAAGAGAAGAGAACATGAAGGAATCTGTGGCTATTATGAAGAACTGGGCACAGAAGTTACCATGAGACAAGCCAAGACTTTACCTGGAGCATATCTACTACTCCGCATTTATTCTCCTTTTAACTGCATAGGTATCCAACAGCAGTTGCAAGGAACAGAAGCAGGTCACTACCCTATGTCCCTTTCTCCTCCAGATATGTGGGCCTGCTATTACCTTGGATGAGCCCAGCATACACAAGTAACAGTGCTTGTGCCACCCAGTCCCACCAGGAGTTCAAAGCAAGCTCTCCATCCGCTCCTGCTTTCCTCCTTTCCCCTTCCATTACCACAATGGATAAAGAAAAGCAAAACAGTTACTGCACATAAACAAGCAAATGGAAGAGGACCTCTGAGTTCAAATGCAAAGTCAACACCTACCTGATTTTGGAATTACAAGTCATTTCATTCTCGGGGTAGTGAATATCCACCGCGTCCTGAATGACTGTACCATACTCATAGACTTTAATCTTCTTTGTCACTCCAGCGATGGCAAAGTAGTCACAGTCTCTGTCGAACTCAATACTGAGGAACAAAAGCATAGGTTGAGAACTGTGTAACACAACACATGTACTTACCAGCAGGGTATTTTACACCTAAATGCCTCAGTATGGCAGAGCTGAGAATCACAATTTGCAGTTAGCAAACACCCCATCCAGAACACCTTGGTCAGGTGTGGTACACATGCCAACAGCGTGGAGTTCTTGCTCTCAGGCACCATTTTCTAATCCCCTACAAACACACCCACATCTCCATTTACTGGAACAGACTTTTTGTGGTAGCACAATCTCCCTCCCACAGCCAGGATCTTGGTTCAGACGCTCTAGAGGTTTTCCAGTTCAGCTACACTATCTATACCGCGCGGTACCCAAATGTCAAAGCTGACAGCTCACCCTGGAAACATGCTTAATGTTCAGCTGTATGCTCTACAATCAACATGTGATGGGATGACTGCCCAGTGATTTCTCTCAGTTGCACTGCTGCATCCCTTAGCTCCTATATACAGCAGCTTGGTGAACTTTAAGTGTTAATGCAGAGCAAACCAGTATTTGTGGAAAAAAGCCTTCTAAATTCCCTGAGTAACAACAGAGGATCAAAACATATATCAGTACTGTAAAAACCATGCACACTGACTTCCACATAGAGTTGCTCGTGGAAACCAAGGCACCTTCTTTCTTGAACTGCAGGGCAAGTTTGTAATAGATATCAATGAAGTTGGAAGTAAAAGCAGTCACCTTATAACAAAGTTAAGCTGCAAATGAAAAAAGCCTGAGGTTGTACATGAAATACATCCGAGAGAAAGGCAGGCAGCAGGTTAGAAACAGCTAATGTCATTGCTACCTTTCCAGCTCAAAAGGGCTCAAGAGAAATTTATTAGACACCTAGTAGCCAGGGAAATAAACCTGCTCCCTAGAAGGAGCTCCTGCCTGCCTGCAGCCCATGTCACTGCAGGCAGGGTGGATGTGCACATACACCTACCTCCTTTCAGAAGTATCAGCCTCAGCAAGACAAAAAGTTTGCTACTCCTCCCAGAAAGGGTTTGGGGATAGCATTTGCCCCAAGTCTCCAGGTTGGTATGGTCAGTAACCAGATCTCCTCAAATCTCTTGACTAAGCATGCAGTCTACCACTTTGAGAGGTCTCTTCTGGGGTTCTTCCACTCAGTAATTCATTTCAACCTCTGCTGTCCCTATCATGATTTTTTTTTTAAAGCCACAGCACTTGTGAACCAGGCAGGAAATTCTGAATTGCAGCAGAGAAAACCAAGTTTACACTGATCAGGTTTCACATTCACATAGCTTGAAAAATCCTGACAGCAAGGGTATTTAAGGCACCTTTCTAGAATTAGAAAGCATTAAACCAATTACAAGAAGAGAGAGGGCTCTTTAGGCTGCCCCCATAGCTATAACAGCTAGAGTTTTCTACCTCTCTGCAATGCTTTCAAGAGAAGATAAATTTAAATGCCCACAGAGTTTAAATCCTTGTAAAGGAAATATCATCAAGTTATTTTTAAACTATGGAGAGAAAGGATTGTTGATATGCAGTCTGACGGTATAAAATAATTCAGTGAAACAGCTTGCAACTTGGCCTTTTAAGGCAGGCACCTAAACTTCTCCGAAGCAGTGGCAGGAGATGGTCCCACTCACGACTGCTTGCTTGCTAGAGAAGAAATGAGCTACTCGGGTCAAGCCTGCAAAATTGCAAGCCTCCAAAAGGCAAAGAAGAGGAACGTGCTTACTGCTGGGGAATAAAGCAAGCAAGCATGCATCTATTTCAATAAAAAGGGAAAGGGAAAGTAGTTATCTAAGCAGCCAGACTGCTCTCCCCTAGCCCCAAATCTACCCTAGTCTAATAATTTTTTATACAAACAGGACGAAAGCACCATTCAGGCCTGTCTTGTCTTGTCAACTCACCCTATTCTATGGAAGAATTGTATAATCGAAAGCCTCTATAACAATACAATGGATTTACTTGTACCACAATCTTAATTGAACTGCTGTCTCAGCTCATGCTCACTGCCCTGTGGATTCAGGTAAAGCGCGACTAAACTGATGGCAGCGATTCATCTACTTGGATTCAATTTATACCCTTAGCCTCCTGCTGCTGAAGAAAAAAAAATAATGTATTACAATGTCTGGTAAAAAGCCAAGTTATTAGAACAGAATAGAACCTCTCTCACCTGGGGTGGGTTTGCTTCTCTAGCATTAATTTTTTCTTTTTTAAAATAGAGACATGCTGTAGACATAACAAATGAGTACTTCAATATGTCTCTAAAAGTTAACACACCATTAAAAAAAATTAATAAAAAGCATCAACCAATGAAATTGTCAGACCTGTGACCTTCAAACAGCATCGAAGACACTGCAGGGAGAAAACAGATGCAGAAATAAACCACCACCTGCACAGATGTTCATTTGCTGTGAGGGAGGCACAAACCCAACACAGCAAGCCTAACACACACTTGCACCTCGGTCTCCATCATCCATAGATGGTGCAGCAAGTGTTCTCACTTTCTGCCAGCTGGCTATTAGTAAGCAATATACAAAGAAAAATATGAACTATCTAAGTACCTAATCAAGTGGCTAAGTACGTAATCAAGTGGATTATTTCTCATATAAAACTATTTCTAATATTTGCAAAGCTCTGCTTCCCCCTGGACTAATCAGGATTAGGACAAACAGCTCACTTGCATAGCAACAGTTATTTTCATGCTTTTTCCTACAAGTCTTCTAAATATATTTAGTATTAAGCAAGGCTTATTTGCATTTAACTAGCTCAATGGTATTCCTGTCACTTACTGCTTGAAGTCTTTGTTTCAATGTAACCACTTGCTTATGCATAAGCTTATCTATATGAAAATTTGCAAGAGAACTTAGTTTTATTTTGTCAAAAGACACAACAGGGCCAGCTCTGAAGAGCAACAACATTCCGGTTTGCAGGTGATACATTTCTACAAAGTAAATTAGTCATTAGCACAATGATAACATGCAATAGAATAATAGGAAATACTTTATCCTTTTTATCAAAAAGGCCATCGAGTCAAGAGATAAACCAGCTAGACAACAGCATCCACTTCACATGTGGTGAGAGGCACAGAGCCACCAGCAAGCCAAAGCAACACAAAATGTGCATGCACTGGCTATTAACATCCTGCTAAAATAAGAGCAATGTGTTTTGGTAGCACTATTTTAAGTAGACTTAACATAGGACTGACAATGAACATTTTCACCATCTCAGAGGGCAGATGGAGCACCAACTGTCTGTGTGTTACAAACCCACCTCAGTCCTAGCATGAAGCAACCTCCTCTAGAGATGGGAGACTAGTTCAGACATAATTTTCATTTTTTTAAGGAAGCACTGGAGGTAAGCCATATTTTAGATCATCTGAACATCCAGTGAAGTTCCCTTTTGGACTAGCAGTGGTCCTTGGTCCTCAAAGATGTGCACGTTAGAAACAATTAGCAATTGCTCCTTTTTTTTTTTTAACCTACTTTTAAACTCTACATTTCTGACCAACAAAGACTAGCTGAATTTTTATAAGGAATCTTTTGGGGACACAAAAACTCATGGATATTTGAGAAAGATTTATAAGTGTGCAACACAATTTACTTATAAAATCAAATTGAAAGGAATTAATTGTTTTTTTCCTAGGGAAAATAGAAGAGAGACATCTCCAGTCCCCAAGTCACTGTTTTCTTTTTCCTAAGAAGTTAATGACCAGTGTCCTATGGAAATACCACTAAGAGCTGCTAGAAAATAAACACATTCTCAAGGGTTTGGGTTGCTCTGCTGCTTATCTTTATTCTCAATGTGTGAGATTATAAATCAATTGCTTTAAGGCTAAAACCTACAACCTTGGAGAGCACTCGTAGCTAACAAATGGAATTATGAAATAAATTGCTTCTGAAACATGTCTGGAAGCCTGGCTTGGTGTTGAGGGTACACCAGTGGGGAAACAGTAAATCATGAGTATTTACCAGCTCTGCCATTGCATAAAGCCTTGCTACATTCACACCCTGATAGCACGTGCAGTTGTTCTCCACACCCCAGGAAGATGCACTGGAGTTAGAGAACGCGTACAGATGGGCAATCAAATTGATTAAAGGAATGGAGCAGCTGCCTTACCATAAGGGTTATGAAAAAGGCAACAGCAAGACTGGTGTTCAACAAGTCACTCCACACTAGAAGTAGGAGGCACTCACCAGAAGATTGATTTGGGACAGACGAGGGTTCCCCTCCCTCCCAGTCACACTTAAAAACCACACACACTCTACAGGTACTTACTCCTGCAAGACATGATGGTGGCAGAGTGAACTTTACAACAGTAATCCATAAACAACTGGTCCATACCAGATAGTAACAGAAATAAATATGGATATACCCTTTAGCATCCCTGATGTAGTGGTTGTGGATGCTGTGAGGCTGCAAGAAGACAACCCTACAGGCAGTGACCAGGCTGGCATGCTCTATGGTCTTCTGCAGGGACAGCATGGGGCTTGGTGCCCTCCAAACCGACCCCTGGGGCAGTTCACACTGTACTTGAAATTGCAGTTTGAAACACCCCAGGGGTCAGACTGGAGGGGCACTTACCCATTTCTCACAGAAACTCGCTGGGCTATGTTCTGGATCTAATCCTTCAAATCAGGAAAATGTGGAGGGTTGCACCTAACTGCATTTGCCTTTAACTGCATCACTAGTTACAATTAAAGGTCTGCAGTCAACTGTTCCTCTCCCCTTTCCATACACATACTCTACAATTGCTACTATAATCATAAATGCCTCAGCTGTGACTTGGTAACAAGATCTGTGACTGTAGGAGTTGCCATTTCCACAAAAGTAGATGACTCAGTCCCTTTCATGGGAATATATATATATTTGGGTTTTTTTCTCCCTGAATATACCAAAAACCTTTCAGTTCTACTTCTAACTAATATGGTGCTGTTTCTATTTCTGTCTCTAACCCCAACTCCTATCTTGCTCTGGCCCCATATTTAATTGCAATATATTGGATATATTGTTTTCAGT